GTCTATGTTACCGGGGGGCTCTTTTGTGGAATAATTTAGACAGCAATAAAAAAAATTCAAGCACACTAGAACTTTTTAAAAGAAACATAGTAATGTAATAACCATTATTATGTATTATATATATTTGTTTTTTCTTTGTACTAACACTTAATTATTTTAATCTAACAGTACTAACACTTAATTATTTTAATCTAACACAATTATTTTGTTTAATGTCCATACGGCCTCGTGGAAGAACACCCACTTGGGTGAACGAGTTTTTTGACCGTTATAAAATAAAGTTGTTATTATTATTATTATTATATGGTAAAATTAATGAAAAGAATAATAATATTTAACAAAAGTATTTGTTATTAATTATATGTGGTAGGTCAATATTTATTTAGTGTACAGAATTACAGTATAATCAAAATATTTAATACAGTACACTCCCCAATTCGTCGCTCACATCATGAACTAACACAATCAAAGTAGATTGTGTTAGTTCGTGAAATCACAGTAGCGCGTCAAAACGAGCACGTATTGGTTGTCGAGCAATTTTGTATTCTTTACCACTCAAAAAGTCCTTAACAACAACAGCGCGTATTTTGACGCGCTTTTTTGATTTCACGAACTAACACAATTGAATTTAATTGTGTTAGTTTGTGATGTGAGCGACGAATTAAGGGTACACTGTGATATCTCCTGATATATACTTAATATTTGGATGCAAATGAAACAGACAGCAGTAACATCTTCTGCATTACTATCTATACTTTATTGGACTTTCTGAAGGCTAATATAAGTTGTTAGCTGATCGAAGGAATGTGGGGTGTTCCAATGGGATTTCGGGTAAACATATATAATGGGCTGTCATCATGGTATTGGTAGTTAATTTATGATGTGACATACACTTGGCTGTGAAGCGAGGAAAAGCATATAAACAATAATGTAAAGCCAACCCCTATTCAGGGAACACCTCTGCTAACTTTTGGTCAAGAAGGTTTTCCATTAAAAGGGGTTCTCTACTGTACCTTCAGTCCACTAAGATCATCTTTTAGTTTAAGTGAAACTCCGAAGTCACAAAGCTTGACAGAATCAAAGTCACCGATGACCAGCACATTGGCACTCTTTATATCCCCATGGAGCAGCTTCTGTTCCGTATGCAGATACTTCAGTGCACTTAGTATGGACACGGCTACTTTATGGATATGCTTGGCTGGAAAATGACCTAATTGGGAAAAATCAATGCAGATGATCACTAGCAAAGGTTGAAAAACTTAGATAAAATATAACATTATACAGTGGCGGTGCTATGTTGCAAAGGACGGAATTCCCTCAGATAATTTTCTTGTCACTAGCTAAGCCCCCACCCCCACTGTACAGTTTTCCTCACAATCATATCAATAACTGTATCTTATCACATTTAACAACTCTTTACTTCTACAGTAAAGATGCTGTGCATCTAAATAAAACTCAACATATACATGGAAATGTTACCCACCAGTGTTTGTGATTTTTTTAAAATAATAATTGTATCTTAATGCGGTATTAGAACCTTTGTTTACAGTACTATTAAGATTTAATTCACACAATCAATGTAAGCTTGTAAGTATGGTTAAATTTTCATTCCTGATGATGACTAATTAATGTCAAAATAGTGAGTCCCAACACGGTGGTGTGTATTTCAATACTTGGAGTATATGTATTATACTCTTATGTGAGATTAATCAGGGACCTTTCAATCAATGTGTCCAGTCTGGAAACATACTTTGATAGAAAGCCATAGCATTGCTTTAAAGTTCATTGTCAATTGAAAGAAAACTTACCTTTATTTTCTTCAATCCTTGCTTCAATGAGATCATACAGATTTTTCTCTCCATTCTCCATGATTAGATATGGTGAACCTTTTTTGTCTTTGCTATATCCACGGAACCCAACAATATTAGGATGATGAACTTTCTGGAAATACCAAAATTACAACTTACATTATTTATCACTGGTTTTGGGATTACCATAAGGCCCAAAAAAATACAGTATGTTAGCTCTTAGGTGGTAAAAATTGTATTTGAGGGACGGGTGGAAAAAAAATTATAAGTAATATTGTACAGTACAATGCAACAGCGTCCTCTTTACTGCCATCGTCGTTGTCCTCTTTTGTCTAGTCATCGCCACCCTCAATGTCAACAGAGGCTATGTGACATTTGTTCATCCTCATTGCCATTATCGTCATCATTATTATCCTTATCATCATCGCCATTCTCTTCATCATCATATGTTATACCATAGGCATGTGCGTCAGTGAATGCTAATTATAATTTAATTAGTTTTTAATTGCGAGTTTAATTCCTTTTAATAAAAAATATGAAAATTATAATGAAAAAAATTGTCCTTGCAAACACACTAAAAATAGAGCAAGACCATTTATTAGCTGGTAGTTTTAAAATCAGGTAGCATTTTTGGAAGTGTAATCAAACTTCTTAGTGAATTTTTTTTTAGTGGCACATAGTAGAAAACAGTATGTTATACCTTGAGAATGCCTGCTTCAAACTCAAGCCTTTCACTCATCACTTCAGCTGAAACTACTGACTTCTTGTACAGCTTCTTGACGGCCCAAGGTGATCTTCCTGATCCATCTCCTTTTGGACTCCTGGAAATTATAAATAAATAAATAATTTAGCAATTAATCATATTAAATATTTTTGGGGAAAAAAAATCAATCAATCAATATTAGGCCAAATAAAACAATTACTAGTTTTTTGTCCCCTCGCGCATCCATTTTCTTTACCTCAACAATTTTTTTTTTTTTTTTTTTTTAATTTCCATTATTTTACAATAAGTATAAAAATCTGGCTAACTCACATCAGTAAAATTCCTCTCTAGATCATTGTTGGGGATACATATGGTATGTCTAGTGCTTCTCTTGCTTTCTATGTGTCTGCTTGGTAAAAGTGAGAAAGTAGGATAAAATATAATAATTTACCTTTCATATAAGTAGACAGATATCCCTGTTCCCCATCCAAGCTTTTTCAAGAATGGAGATGGAGGAATATTGATCATAGGTGAGGAAGACATTGAGTCATTTAGTGAGACCCTTGTCTTTTTCAGATTGTGAACTGGAGTGGAAAATGTAGTAACATCAGACATCTTAACGTAGACTTGAGTCTGTAGTGTAAAAATGGATTTGAATTATTAATAATTATAACAATTCATACAGAATGCCTGACACGGACAGGGGTTGGCTCCAGAAATTTGCCAACAGGGGATCTGAACCTAGGGGGCTAACTGCAGCCATAGGTCAGGGACTCGGAATTCCTGCTACTGTTCACAGGGATTTTATGGCTTAGTATGGACCAAACTTTGCTTTTAGACCGCAATATAGGGATTGGGGTCCACTGGCACCACCACTAATATCATAATAATATTAGAATTTATAAAGCATCAATTAAATGACCAAGGTGCATTATCACAGGTGCTGCGCATGTTAATGATGAAAAATGTGAGTTTTAAGTAATTTTTAAAATTGTCTGAGTCAATGGGTTTTCTTCATCAGACTAATGTTAAATATAAAGTTTGAATAAGACTAACTTAGAAATTCATATTTGAGTTAGGAAAAGTCAACTTAAGTAGGTAAGTTTCACTGTACTGTATTTGACAAATTCTAATAAATTTCTTTGAAAGTACTGTATATCAATTATCACAGAGATGAACCATTTAAAATACTGTACCATGCTCAAATTAACATATTGAAACTGTTTCTTTCATATTGCCTATATTATACACTTCCTTTATCATTATTAATTCTTAATTATCATGTTGCAATTTGGTAATTTGACATTCCAACCATAGATAGGCCAGGGCCTAATAATTTAAGTACTGTAAATTAATAATGTTATCAGGTAACAGAGAGTTACAGCGGGTTGAAGGCGAAACCACGTTGCCTGTTAACTGCTCGGCAATTTTGGATTCTCTTGCACTGACTGACTATAAGTTATCAAAGCCTTTTGGTCTAAATATTGCTGTCACATAATATTTAACCTAGGCTAGGCTAAATATTATGTGAGAATTATATTGGCCACTTATTATGATTAAATTTAATCCTTTTTTATAAGGGGGGGGGGGGGGGGGGGGGGGGGGGAGGAGGATGTGGATGAGTATTTTATTATATAGAGGCCTACTTTCTACTACTACTTGACTAGTAGGTACTCTTACGGTGAATATCCTACCAGTCCTGCCTACACAAAAAAGGGACCAGGCTTAGCCTAGTGTAGACTCCTTAAATGCATGTAGGCCATAGTCCTGTTTGCACCCCACTCACACACACAGAGATCTGAGTAGTTTAGGGCCTAGGGCCTAGGCCCTACATACATAGTCTCATACATACATAGAGGTTAGGTAAGCCTAGCTAGGTAGGCAGGGTAGGCTAAGCCTAGCTTCCTAGCTAGCCTACGTGCGGTACGTCTGAGCCACACGCTAGTATTTGTGATCATATCAGTTCATCATACTAATTTCTAAATAAAACAAATTAAGTTATCAAATTCACGTTGAATGCAGCTCTTTGTTCGTTAACTGTTTTCAATTCCAAAATTCCCTCTCTCTTTCGGTCAGCCTTTTCAGTACATTGCATACCAAAGTCACAACATACAATTCTATAATAATATAATTAATAAAATCTTGCTAGTTAAAAAAAAATATATGTTTATTTTATTTAAAATTGTTCTAGGCCTAGTTCCAATATTATTGTTTGGATGTAAAATTAGTGAATTGAATAGGGACAAGGAAAGTTACGAGGTCAGGAGGTCATTTAACATCAACAAAGTCACCTGATTTTGGAGACCAGAGAGCACGGCGGGCACCTCTCTGTGGATTGTTTCACACGCTAATATGAAAGAAAATGAAGAAACAAAACCACTTTTAAGTGGCAGATCGGACCGAGTAATAGAAGATAATGATGAAGATGTTATATTAACGGGATGTGGAGCAACTGCTGCTTGCGATCCAAGGCAGTCATTGCATCGATTTCTTATTCTGATTTTGATATGCTTTTTGAGCTTCGGTAAGCTAGCTGCTACTACTCTAGGTAGAACCTGGCCTAGCAAGCCTAGGCATACCTGCCTCCTTCCTTGTGCTGAACTAGGCTAGTCTAGGCCTAGATTAGAGAAGCAGGGGCTAGTCCCAGCTAACTGTAAATCGGTCTTACTACTATTACTAAGTAGCTAACAAAAAAATTATTAATATTAGGCCTATTTAATTAAGTTTTATAAATTGTTATTTAAAACAGTTATTACTTTGTATAGTATCTTTGTATGTTTCTACTTGTCTACATGAGCAAAATACATTACATTATTTGAGACACTGGTCACAATTGTTGAATACTGGCCCTGCCCCCCTCCCTTTTGGGAGGTGAAATAAAGAAAAAAGAAAGAAAAAGAAAAAAATGATAGCCCAGAACGCCTCAAATGTTATTTTCAGGCATCTAGAACACAAACATTTTGCGGGGGCATGCCCCCGGACCCCCTAGTACAGTGTTGTCTCGATCTGCCCAATTTTCGGCCCCCCCCCCTTTGGCTCCCTCTTTTGGACATCTCTGGATCCGCCCCTGTTAACATTCTGAAATTAAAAAAAATATGTGTAATTTTGGTTATTTTGTAATTTAAAGCATTTAAAACATACCTAAATGCAAAACCTCATCCCTTTACTTTCCTTAAAATACTTTCTGTGTTATCATTATCGTTTGCTTCGTTTTATTTACTTATGCTGTAGTTGATTTATTTATTTTTGTTTAAATAATTACTTTACAATTTTCTTTCAGGAAGTTACTTTTGCTATGACAATCCAGCTGCTCTTCAATCTCAGATAAAGTCTGTAAGTTTAAAAGGGAGGTGCACAGTAAAAATATATCCTAATAATATAAAGCCCTTTATACAATATCTGATTTTATTTGACAAAAACATGTGACATGCCTAAATATGGTCATGATGACATCATGACTAATAAGGGCATAAAACAGGTATTTTTTTCAAAGAAATTTTGATAGCGTGTACAGCGCTTTAATTTAACAACATTGAAATAGTTATTGACATTCAATCACAAAAGTTAACTTATTTAATCTTCCTTGCCAATAACATAAAAATGTTCTCAAAATCATCTTACTCTATCATTACCATCAAATACTTATCTTTTTTGGAGTTTAATAATGACTAGTTTAGGCCTATTTTTTTTAATGACACATTTCTATCTTTAATAAATTATTAAGCCTACAGTAATTATTCATTTTACCCTGGTAGTTACATTTCATCAGCCAAAATGCATGGGATGATGATGGTTAGCATGAACCCAGATGGTTAGCATTAGGCCAAGTACTATGATAGAAATATAATCCTGACTGATGAACATTGATTTTCAATCTTTACTTTCTAATCATGGTAGGCAGACGTCCTAAGCTCCATTGCCTGCTTCATTTAGGCTGGTATTTCAAATGCCTTGAAAGTGTTTTTAAAATATTAACATTAAGCATGCTCCATGTGTATTAATGCCTTTTTTTTAAATCTTGCTTTTAAGTTTTTCAGTTGTTGAATAATTTTAATTTTGACTTCATCCTATGTAGTGTGCAAACTTCAAATACTGTTCACCACTTTTATTATATAAAATATTTTAAATATAAACTACCTAAAATCTTTGTGTTTTCAGGCAATGAATGTGAACTCCAGCCAGTATATGCTTCTCTACTCTCTGTATTCCTGGCCCAATGTAATCCTCTGTTTCTTTGGAGGATTCTTGCTTGACAGAGTGTTTGGAATCAGGTAGGTGAATAAATGTAACTCTGGGATGTGTACATAAAGGAATCAAGGACACTAACATTTTTAGGCCAAACAATGATCATCAGAACTTAAATACGTTTCCGTCAATATGCTGATGACACACTGCTTTGGCTTTCTTTTGAAAAGAACAATTATCCATCTGCAGTGAAATCATTAAAAGAATGTGCGCTGAATATCAAACAGTGGCTTACTGCCAATAAAGTTTGTCTGAACGATGCAAAATCTGGTTCTCATTCAGTCATAAGTTTCATTATCCAGTTCAGTTCAATCAGATTTACAGATCAACATTTTATTTAAAGTTTAGTTTAGTTTTGTTTTGTCTTTATTAACGTCACACTCTTATAATACAATAAGACCAGCCAATACTGGCTTATGAGTGACACATCTTAAAAAATACATGAAAAAAGCTTCAAGGGCTCATAACTAGTTTTTTTTTTTTTTT